TTTAGAGTTAGAAAAGAATGCTGTGATACATACATGTGTATACTAGCTTTCTGGTTTTGAGGGAGATCTTTCAAGTCAGACTCCTCTGCTTTCTTCTTTCTCTTCATGTTGCCTCAGGGTTATACAGACAGACTTACCTGGAATTTGTTCCAGGTGTTGGGACTGTAGGTGTGAGCTACCTCACTCAGTGCATACTTTTCTTACCTATAAAATGGTGGGCTGAAATTAGTTTACTAGAAGACCTTCATGTCTGACTTTCTCATTTTTCTTGGTTCTTTTGAGTAATATTTGGAGAATTAATACAAGTTGAAATATTTATTCCAACATTCAAAAACATTTGAATGTTTTTCTTGTTTGGGGAAAAAGTAGCTATGGTTGAGGTATAGAAGAAATTTTTTGGAAACCGAGGATGTTCAGTTGCCTTGCATGTACAAAATTCTGGGCTAGCTGAGGATACATGAGATTCTGTCACACTTTTTATTTTTATTTTTTTTCAAGATAGGGTTTCACTGTATAACAGCTTGGCTGTCCTGGAACTCACTGTAGACCAGGGTAGCCTCTGACTCAGAGATCTCTGTCTCTGCCTCCCAAATGCTGGAATTAAAGGTGGTCATCACTACCTCCTGGCATCAGAATTTTGGGGGGGAGGAATTCCTAACTAGTATTGTGTTTTTAGAATATTTGCTTCAGCCCATGTGTTGTGTGATGTAGAACCAAACAGGACAATATGCATGCATGTAAATGTGTGCTGTTTTGTAGTATGAGAAGTTTTTGTGTTTGTTAATGTGTACATATATGAGGCCAAAGATCGATGTCAGGTGTCTTCCACCCCTCTTTCCATCTGTTTTTTTTTTTTTTTGTTTTGTTTTGTTTTGTTTTTCAAGACAGGGTTTTTCTCTTGTACTTTGTCTGTCCTGGAGCTCACTTTGTAGACCAAGCTGGTCTTGAACTCAGATTCACCTGCCTCTGTTTCCCTCCCGAGTGCTGGGATTAAAGGTGTGCACAACCATGCCTAATTTAAGTGATGTAATTTTTTAAAGCTGTATATAGATAATCTACTACAATTTATGCTAAGGTTATGTAAACTGTAGTCTACAAGGTAAGAGATTAGACAGGGGAGAGAGGAAGGGAAGAGAGAAGGAAAAGGGGGAATGTCTTCCTTTTATGTGTTCTATCTAATCTGGTAGGCAGGCTAATCATTCTGTTGAATTGGCAAGGAAGACCTGTAAAATTGAGTAATTCTTTTCTGGTTTCCTGTAGTCTCCTCTTTCTTATATCCTAGATAAAATGGAGTACTTTAGTTAGGGTCAAGTGCTTTTAAAATGAAAACAACTTTAATAGTATTTTGGGTTTGTGTGAATGTAATAATCTTTTTTTTTCTCACACCATGTCAGTTAATGTGGTAACTTTGACAGAATACTAACCCATTTCTCAAAACTGCCCTTATCTCCAGCACTAGCTGCAAAAGGGTTCCAAGGCTATTCACCTCTTCTCATTTGACTATGGATTTGGTGGTCACCATGGTTTTGTGTTTTGAGTACACATGTCTGAAACTCACCAAATATAGCTAGCTAGTTAGTAAGCTTCAGTAATCAGCCTTTTTCTACTTCCTTAGCCCCGGAATTACAAGTGTGTACATGATGCACAAAGGTGCTCAGCTTAAAAAGTTTTTTCATTTGTTCGTTCATTCATTCATTCATTCATTCAATGTGTGTGTGTGTGTGTGTGTCTGTCTGTCTGTCTATCTGTCTGTCTGTCTTTGAGATTTCATTGAGTGTCATACCATGTGTGGAGGTCAGAGGAGAACTTGGGAGTTGGTTCTTTGCTTCTATGTGTGTTCCCAGTGTTGAATTCAGGTCATTAGAATTGGTAGCAGTTGTCTTGACCTGTTGAGCCATCTTGCAGGCCCCAACCTTTGTTTGTGTTAGGTGTGTTCTGGGAAACAAACTCAGGCCCTAGTGCTAACAAGGCAAGCATTTTATTGACCAAGCCTCTTATCTTTTGAGACATTTTTGCCTATGTATCTCTGGCTGGTCTGGAATTTATTGTGTAGCCCAGGTTGGCCTCAAATTCAAGATTTTCCTACTTCTGCTTCTCAAGTGCTGAGATTATAGTTGTTGCCACCATGTCCAGCTCGTAGTTTCTATGTAATGGGTGAGTTTATATCTCCTGTGACTAGCAATGTAATTTTATATTCCGTGAGTTTTGTATTTATTCATCAGTTTATAGCATACCAGTGTTTAAAGTACAGTGGTGTGGGAAGTGCTGTAGGCACCTATACAGAGGTATTATCGAGCATTTATAAATTGTGATTAAATGTTGTGAAGGAAACTAGTTTTAGAAATATATAGGTCTAACATCCTACCTTTGGGTATGTGTGTGTATATATATATATATATATATATATATATATTTATTTGTTTGTTTGTTTTTCGAGACAGGGTTTCTCTGTAGCTTTGGAGCCTGCCTTCGAACTAGTTCTTGTAGACCAGGCTGGCCTCGAACTCACAAAGATCCGCTTGCCTCTGCCTCCCGAGTGCTGGGATTAAAGGCATGCACCACCATGGCCCGACCTGGGTTTATATTTTTTATATTTGACTCAGTGGTGGAATCTCTCTGTATCTTCACATTGATTTATGATAGGCCTATATGTGCCATGCATAGTATGCATGTGGTCATTAGATGACAACTTGTGAAAGTCAGTTTTCTTCTACCATGTGGGTCCTGTGGATTGAACTCAGGTCATCAGGCTTGGTGGCAAGTGTCCTCTTTGGCCAAATCAAAGACTATATTTTCATGTTGAATAAAATGGCAGCTCTAACCATCAAGAAATTGTGCTCCCCCTCCCCCTCAGGGATTATGCAGATGGTTTATTTATTTATTTTTCTCAAAGCTCTTGGGAGCATTTGTTCCTTTGTGACTGAGGGAGATTACTCAGTTGGTAAAGTACAAACATGAGTGTAGCATGACGGATGGGTGGGCGGGCGGGTCCCTTGATTGGCCTGGGCGCCAGATGTAGCATGAGGGCCGGCTTGTTGGGGTATCTGTTCCCGCCCAGTACCCCACAGCCGGCAAGCCCAAAGAAAATAACAGAGTCTACATTAGGTTATAAACTGATTGGCCCATTAGGTCAGGCTTCTTATTAGTCCTTGTAACTTATATTAATCCATTATCATTATCTATGTTAGCCACACAGCTCAGTACCTTTCTCAGCATGGCAGCTCACATGTTGCCTCTTCGGTGATCTGGGCAGGAGTGAGGAGGGGGCTTCCTGCTTCCCAGAATACTCCCAGTCTCTTTGCTCCACCCCTACTTCCTGTCTGGCTTTCCCGCCTATACTGCCTGCCTGGCCAATCAGCGTTTTATTAAAATATGATTGACAGAATACAGACAATTCTCCTGTACTACATGAGAACTTGAGTTCAGTCTCCAGAACCCACATTAAAAAGTTGATACTTGATGCTTGCTCAGTTTATCTTTTCTACTTGGTGAACACCAGGCCAATGAGAACCCTGTTTCAAAAAAACATGCAAGATGGCAGCTGCAGAATGACACCCGAGACTGTCTGTGGCCTTCACACTTTTGCACACAGTGCCTGTGTACTTATACACACACACACACAAAGATTTCATATCTTAATTTTGCAGATGTCAAAATTCAGGGAGTGCTGAAGAGATGGCTCAGTAGCTAAGAACTCTTGTTCTTGCAAAGGATCTGGCTTCCATTCTAGCTCACAACTGTCTCTTCTGACTTTCCTGGCTGCCTGGAGCACACATGGTAGGTGCACAGGCATACAGATGAACAAAACACTCATACATGTAGTTTAAAAAACTTTTTTGAGTGTATTTCAGAGTTAAATACAACAATTTTTTTTGTTTGTTTTTTGAGACAGGGTTTCTCTATGTAGTCCTGACTGTCTTAGAATGAGCTTTGTAGACCAGGCTGGTCTTGAACTCTGTGAACTTGCTTCTGTCTTCCAAGTGCTGGGATTAAAGGTGTGTGCCACCACTGCCCAGCAAAATTTTAATGCCTTAACCATTTGCAAATCTCCCCCCCCCCTTTTACAGTAAATTCTCAGTGCATTTGTAGTTGTGTGTCTGCATGTGCTGTAGTGTGCTATTGGAGGTCTGAGGACAACTTTGCGTAGCAGTCCTTGCCTTCTACCTTGTATTATGTATGAGTCAGGGTTTCTCTTGTTCACTGCTTAGTGTACTATCTAGGCTGCGAGCTTCTGCTTCCCACCTCCTTGTGGGGCACTCTGGGATTACTGGCACTTTTACTACTGCACCTGACTTTTATGTGGTTCTGGAGATCTGAGCTCAGGTTGTCAGGCTTGTCTGGGAAAGTGCTGTGACATCTGAGCTATCTCCCCAGCTCATGTAATTATATTTTGAAATAAATCTTTATAGTTAGAAGAGCTGATATTTTCATTTTAAAATATAGGTTGAAACTTTTCAAGCTGTGAGTAATAGCTAGGCTAACTGGTGCTACCATAGCTGTTGAGACCAGAGATCATCTGTTCATTATCCAGTTCCTTCTCACATATACTGGGGGTGGTGGACAAGGGTTGTGCTGCTTGTTATGTTCTGAGTTGCTGCAGCCCTGAGACTGGGTAATGAACCATTGTTTACAGTGTTCTTTGTGTTGCAGTTGATCTTGCATACAGTGCATGTGTGTTCATCCTACAGCAAGCTTTCACAAAGTTCATATACCACTTGGGGCTCCTTCTCATATCTCCTCTCTTTTGTTCTTAAAAAACGGTAATTAAAAAAAAGAAATATACTGATCTACTTTGGACTTACAATCAGGTCCAGAAATTTAGCGAATGGACCCTTGTAACTGCTGCTCTGAGCAATTGCCATTTTTCTTTTTAGAGGTTTTTAGCCATATCAGTAATGCTAGTTCTCTTCTCTGAGTGGTTGAATTTGTTACTAGTTGAGAGAGAAAGATATGTATATAAATAGAAATCAATAGAATAATTGTCTTTAATTTCTTTTTAGGTCAACATCTAATTTGAAATATTAAAAGTGGATACAAAACTATTTCCGCAATGCAGACAATTAAGTGTGTTGTTGTTGGTGATGGTGCTGTTGGTAAAACATGTCTCCTGATATCCTATACAACAAACAAATTTCCATCGGAATATGTACCAACTGTAAGTATAAAGGCTTTCTGATAGTAAAAAGGATGTCCATTGAAAAAATTTTGCCTATCTGCACTGAAATATTTTTGTCTATCTTTGCCCTTTAAAAACACATTCAATTTCATTACCTTTATTTACTTTGTGGGGTGTATGTCTGTATGTACATACTGCCTTGGCACATGTATGGAAGGCTGAGGACAACTTGAAGGAGTCTCTTTAGTACATATGAGTTCTGGGATTGAACTCAGGTTGTCATATTTGGCAGCAGGTGCCCTCACCATCTTGGTCATTATACCAGCCCAAGTTTTTGGCTTCTCATAGGTAATTACTTACACTTTAAAATTAAACAGCGGAGGGTCAAGAGATGACTCCACAGTTAAGAGTACTGGCTGGAGGACTCAGATTCAATTCCCAGCCACTGCACCTGACTTGACAAGTGTCTTTTAGAATTAATCAAAAAGAGTCTGGAATCTTAGGTTAATCTTCAGAAACATCAATAGGGTTATCAGGTTAGCATGTTGATGTTAGCTTCTGTGATGGCACAGCGGTGCAGGACTTAGACTAAAGCCACATTAAGAAAAAAGATGAGGTTTCTTTGAGGGGGGTGAGAATTTAAAGATTGTAATTTGATAGCTGGGTGGTGGTGACACATGCCTTTAATCCCAGTATTCGAGGCAGAGGCAGGCAGGAGGATCTTTGTGAGTTTGAGGCCAGCCTGGTCTACAGAACTAGTTTCAAGACAGCCAGGGTCACACAAAGAAACTCTGTCTCAAAAAAAAAGCAATTTGGTAATAAAACTACATTTTTGAGTTGGCCCATTAATCAGAAGATATTTTGAACTTACAGGGGGCTTCTTGTAGATCTTGTCTGAAGGTGAGACAGCCATTGGGAAATCTGTGCCTGAGTTTTTACTTGTAAACGTGATTTCCAAGACTTTCATGACTATTTGCTGTGAGCTTCTGGGTGTTCTATATGTTTGTGCATCATCGGGGAAAGAATAGCAGTGGCATAAGTTTTGAAACGGGCCTGCCTAGGTTAATTATGTATCTATGGTGTTTATGTCGGCATGGAAACAGATTTGGTATACAGTGCATATTTATGCCCATCTGTGGACTGAGTTGAAGAAATTTACATATCACCTTTTCTCCCTTGCGAGAGAAAATTCAGATCCAACTTACAGATGAGACTTGGTAATCAAGCGTTTCTGATACTTTTTTTTCCTCCTGAGGCCTGGCTCTCAATTGTGTAGCTTTCCTGGAACTTGCTGTGTAGACCAGACTGTCCTTAAACTCACAGAGGTCTGCTTGCTGCCTCTGTTCAGTGCTTCCTGATTCTGAATTTCTTTCTTTCTTTTTTTCTGAGGCAAGGTTTCACTATGTTCTTATGCTGGTTTCAAGTGACCATTCTGCCTGTACTCCAAAGTGGCTAATCTGGATAGATGCACCTGGCACGTTTCTGGTTTTTTTCTCTCTCTTTAATTAATTATTTAATTTTTAATAGTGTGTGGATGATGTTCACATGCCTGCAGGTGCCCACAGAGGCCAGAGGTATTAGATTCCCCTGGAGCTGCAGTTACAGGTGGTTGTGAGCCTCCTCATGTAGGTATTGGGAGCCGAACTCAGTCTTCTGAAAGAACAGTACAAATTCTTAACCACTGCGTCATCTCTCCAGCCCAGTTTCAGTTCTGAATTAAAAGGAGCTGTCTGTTAATAAATAGTTTTTTTAGAAATCAGATTGAACATTGTGGAAGCAAAGCACTGTCTTAAATTTTTTAGACTTGAATGGGAGTATTGAAAATTTTTATTATTTATTTTTGAGATAGTCTTATTTATTTTGAGACATCCCAGAGTAGCCTCAAACTTCCTAAGTAGGTCAGAGTGACCTTGGCCTCTACCTCCTAAGTGTTGGAATTATGGCATGTTCTACCATATTTTTTGTTTTTTCCTTTACCTGTCTTTTTTTCCTCATCATTTATTTATTTTATGTCTGAGTGCTCTATCTGTATGTATGCCTTTATGTTAGAAGAAGGCATCAGATCCCATTAGAGATGATTGTGAGCCACCATGTGGTTGCTGGGAATTGAATCCCAGACCTCTGGAAGAGCAGCCAGTGCTCTTAACCTCTAAGCCATTTCTCCAACCCCTTCTTTTCCTTTTTTTTAAAAGCTGATTTATTTTCATTTAGCCAAGTGTTTTATTCAAAAGCTTCTCAATACCACTAGTTGTCAGAAACAGTGAATATCACCTTTCTTTTCCTGCCCAACCCTCTTGAAGATGGATGGAAAGGTCCTCTGTAGTCAGATACCTGGTTTCTGTGATACCACTTACGATTTTGTGTTTTTCATTCCACGACACAGTTTTCCAATTTTTTTTCCCCCAAGAACCATTCAGCTCATTCAAGGACATAGTTGAGATTGGTTACATAAAAAGATTCAAACTAAGGGAAGATGAATTTCCTTCTTGGGAAGGAAATAAGTGACTAGGAATTGTACTATCTCACTAACAGTGTTGTATTTCTTTGTTTTAATTTTAGGTTTTCGACAACTATGCAGTTACAGTTATGATTGGTGGAGAGCCATATACTCTTGGACTTTTTGATACTGCAGGTGAAAACTTAATGTCTCACAATATTTTGATCTGTAACTGTAACAGTTGCTACTGCATGTCTTTTGGGCACCATGAAATTAGTATATTAGTAATTCACTAATGTTTTGTTATTAGGGTTAGGGTTATAATGATGGTTGCTGGCATGGTGGCATACACCTATAATCCCAGGATTTAGGAGGCAGAGGTAGTTGAATCTCTTGAGTTTGAGCCAGTCTAATCTATGTAGTGAGTTTCAGGATAGCAAGGGCTGTAGAGAGACCCTGTCTCAACAAAACACACACACAGAAAGATGGTTGATCCTGAATGGCTAATAGTAGTGAGTGTGGAATGCCCTGGGTGGATGGTATGGTAGAAGATGCAATATAGTCTGAGCCTCATTAGGTGAACTCCAGTGGGTTTGAAGGCTGGAGAGAGACTAAGGGAATGAGGTCAGAAAACATGTCTGCTGATGATTTCATTTTACCCCCTTGTTCAGATCTCACAGTTGGGGACTAGAGGTGTAGCTTAGTTGGTTAGCATATTTCTGTACATGCGTGAGGCCTGGGTTCAATCCCCAGCTTTACCACGTAAATTTTTTATGACTGTAATCACAGCTTTTTCTGAATAGAAACAGGAGGATCAGAAGCTCAAGGTCATATATAGCAAATTCAAAGCGAGGCTGAATATGTAAGACTCTGAAATTAGTAATCTTAGTTTCCTAAATATAACTAAGGTTGTAAACTTCATATTTATTTTTATTGTCTGTCTGTCTGTCTGTCTGTCTGTCTGTCTGTCTGTCTGTCTATCTGTCTGTCTGTCTGTCTGTCTATCAATCAATCATCTATTTATTTGGTTTTTCAAGACAGGGTTTCTCTGTGTAGCTCTGGTTGTCCTGGAACTCACTTTGTAGACCATACTGGCCTTGAAATCACAGAGAATCCACCTGCATCCCAGTGCTGGAATTAAAGGCATGTGCTGCAACATCTGGCCAGTTGTAAACATTTTAAATCAGTCCTTCAAAATGTGTTTTATTTTATTTTTTAAGACAGTATCTTCATGTAGTCCAGGTTAGTCTTGAATGTAAAATCTCCTTGCCTCAGCCTCCTGACTTCCGATATTCATATGTTCAGATAAAAAGAGTATAACAATAAAATTTGTTTTGGTAAATGATAGGTTTGGTGAATTTTATTGACCTATCATAATCAATATATTTACCTTGTATATGTGTCTATTTTCCCATCATCTATATCTTTGTATCCATCCATCCAGCCAGCCAGCCAGCCAGCCAACCAATCAACCAGCCAATCAGCCAGCCAACCACCCACTTACCTATTTGCCCATCTGTCCATCTATTCATCTATCTATTCATCTATCCAGCTACCCACCCACCTATCCATCCATCTAAATTTTAGTGTCATAAAATTCTGCTTGTGCTTTTAAAATTTTTTCTTGACCTTGACAGTCACAGATGGACTTCTAGGTTCCCACTATTTTGCTCTTCTAGGATTTTTTTGTGAATCCTTTGTTTGACTTGTGAGAGCCATCCGTGCATGTATGCATGCCTTGGTTCTTTGTTTTTATTGTTAAGCACTATCTTACTCTGAATATAGCATAATTGTTTATCTACATATGAGCTGATGTGTTTGGGCTCCAGTTATAAGCTATTTTAAATATTGGTGCTATGAACTGTTTCTGTCTGTTTTATCTAATGCCAGTAATGTTCATATGAAAATAGGTTTATAAGAACTCTACTTTCAGTTCTTTTAGCTGTATATACCTATAAATGGAATTGCTGGGTAGTGTAAAAATTCTGGTTTTAGTTATTTTAGGAACCTCTTTTTCAAAAGCTGTGTCAATACGTTCCTACCAATAATGCATGAGAGCTATATTTTCTTTAGAAAAATGTAAGTCCTCTGCCTTTTTTTTTTTTTTAAATGAATTGAATTTGTTTGTAATTTGATTGAATATTAGGAGTTCTCTAGATATTAGTCTCTCTTTCAGGTCAGGAATTGCAGGCTGTAGCATGAGTTCTAATAGGTCTTATAATAAAAGTCTGGAGTCAGATAGAGGGGAAGGGAAAATGCTGAGAGATCAGAGAGACGAAGGAGCAAAACTTCAGCCACCTTACCTACTCAGACTGAACTCCTGTTTCCTCCTGCCTTATCACTTCTCTGCCCAGCCATGTCACTTCCTGTCTTGTCTGTACATACCTTCAGACCTCTATGGTTAGCTAGTGGCCAGTTTTGCCCTCTGATATTCAGGCAAAACTGAAGGTTTATTTGTACAAAAAAGATAACACCACAGCAGACTGTTTCTCTCATTCTTTGGATTGCTGTGATTTCCCCCCCCCCCCCCCAGTTTTTATTTTTATTTTTTGTGTGCGGTTGTTTTGCCTGCATGTGTGTCTCTGCGCCATATGCATTCAGTGCCTGTTGAGGCTAAAAGAGGGTGATATATCCTCTAGAACTGGAGTTACCGTTCTAGATGGTTGTGAGCTGCCATGTCGGTGCTGCACACTCTCTTTTTAAAAAAAAAATTAATTTTTTTTTTTTTTTACTGTGTATGGGTGTTTTGCTTGTGTGTATGTCTGTGCACCACATGCATTTAATTTCTGTGGAGCCCAAAAGAAACCCTTGGAATTGAAGTTACTGATAGCTGTGAACCTCCATGTGGGTACTAGGAATTGAACCTGGGTGCTCTGAAAATACAGCCAGTGCTCTTAACCACTGAGCTCTCTCCAGCTCTTTGATACTGACTTTTGGTGTATAAAAATACTACATTTTCATGAAGTTGAATCTATCTACTTTTCCTTTGGTTCCTGTACTTTGGTATTAATGCCTTCCTCTTCCCCAATCATTGTCAGGCATGACGCTATGAAGGTCTGATCTAGGTTTTCTGAGAGTTTTCAGGTTTAGGTCTTTGACCCACTTTGAGTTAATTTTTCTGTGTAATATTAGATAAGGGCCCAACCTAATTTTTTTAAACACCCCCCACCCCCACCCCCACCCCCGTGGATACGTAATTTCCCCAGCACTTTTTATTTGCTATTGGATCCTTCAAAATTGTTTTGTATATTTATTTCTGGCTTTTCTTTGCCATTGATTTGTTTGTCTTTAACGCAGTCTCACATTTATTTGCTTACTGTAGCCTTCTAGTAAGGTTTTTAAACATTAGAATTACTCATTTTATTTTATATGTGGGTATTTTGCCTGGATGAATATATGTATACCTTGTGCGTGGCTTAGTGCCCCCAGAGGTCAGAAGCTGGCATTGAATTCCTGGAACTGGAGTTACAGGTTGATGGTTGTGGTTGCTAGAAATCGAACCTAAGTCCTCTGGAAGAACAAGTTCTCTTAACTGCTGAGTATCTCTCCAGCCCCATTTTTTTTTTTTTTTGAAATATAAAATGAGATCTTTTAGCATTGAATATGTAGGGTAGAATTGACAACATCTTAATATTAACTCATCTAGCATATGAGCATAGAATGTCTTTCCGTTTTTTTTTCCCTCTGTAGCTTTGGTGATTATCCTGGAACTGCTCTGTAGACCAGACTGGCCTCAAACTCACAGCGATCTGCCTGCTTCTGCCTCCCGAGTGCTGAATTAAAGGCGTGAGCCACCACCGCCCAGCTCTCTTTCCATTTCTTGGGGCTTTGGGGCTTCTTTACTTTCAACAGTGTTTTTTATCCCTCTTTTTATTTTGTGAATCTCTGACCTTCCTGGTTAATTCCTAAGTATTTCATTATTTTTACATATCCATTGATTCTTGCCTAGTTCAGTTCATTTTTCTGAGGCCTTTCCAGTTTCAGATATTGGCTTTAACATGTGCATGTGGACCAAGTTTGGTAGTTATTATGGATAGCGGCTGTCTCCAGTAAGAACTTTACAGAGATTAGTATTCTCTTAGGCGGTTTTACTGTGACTGTTACATAATCAGAAGTAGATTTGATATTTTTTTTAAAACTATACGTGTAGCAGTACTCTATTGTTACTACATTATTATTGAGTTACTAACAAAAATCTAAAAACTAAAAAGCAAATAATATGCCAACTTTCTTGCTGTATAAGTTATTGACATATGTAAATAGAATTAGCTCAGAAAGTATTGTCCAAACAGCATATAATACTAAGCCATACCTTTGAGTAGATAACTTGCTTTGTTGCTAGTGGTCAGTATGCTATGAACTGTACTCTTGAAGTGTTGACAGAGCTGCCTCCCCCTCCCCTTTCTTTTTGAAATAAGTGTTTTTCTATGTCATTTTGGCTGGCTTGGATCTTGCTTTGTAGATCAGGCTGGTCTCAAACTTGTAGTTCTTCTGCCTTTGCCTACTGAGTGCTGAGTTTATGGGTATGCTCCACTATTTCCATTTTTTTTCCTTTTTAAATTTTATTTAAAAAATTTCCCTTTTCTTTATTTATGTGAAAGCACATACCATAGCATGTGTGTATGGAGGTCAAGAGGGTCACTTTGGGGGAGTTGGTTCTCTCCTTTTGCCATCTGTTTCCTGGGCATGGAAATCAAGTTGTTAGGCATGGCAGAGCCTAACTCATGGTACCATCTTACCTACTGAGTGATCTTGCTAGCTTCACCATTACCTGTCTTTGACTTTTTTTATTTTTGATACCTGGTCTCATGTCATTCAGCCTTTCTACCTCTGTCTCCCTAATGCTGAGATTATAGTCTTTGCCAACCATGCCTAGTTTTAATGTGCTATGGGGGTTCAACCCAGGGCTTTATGCATGCTAGGTACTCATTACTTTCTAAAGAGCTATAGTCTTAGTCCTTGACCTGCAATTTTAATGCCATGTGGCCATCAGATTTTAGTTGCTAACTTTTCCTAACTTTTTCTTTAGGGCAAGAGGATTATGACAGATTACGACCGCTGAGTTATCCACAAACAGACGTTTTTCTAGTATGTTTTTCAGTGGTTTCTCCATCCTCATTTGAAAATGTGAAAGAAAAGGTCAGTCAGACTCTTTCCCCTTGAAATCTGTACAGGTGTTCTGTTGCCCTGTTAGTTTAAGAGGCTTGTGGATTAACAAAAGCATTTTAAAACCTTCTTTTTAGTGGGTGCCTGAGATAACTCACCACTGTCCAAAGACTCCTTTCTTGCTTGTTGGGACCCAAATTGATCTCAGAGATGATCCCTCTACTATTGAGAAACTTGCCAAGAACAAACAGAAGCCTATCACTCCAGAGACTGCTGAAAAGCTGGCCCGGGATTTGAAGGCTGTCAAGTATGTGGAATGCTCTGCTCTCACACAGGTAAGGGCTCTGGAACCTTTATCTCTGTGTAGTTTTTTGTTTGTTTGTTTTTTTAGCATTAGGATAACAAAGGCTCTTTTCCCTTTATTCTTTTTCTCTTAAAAACTAAAAAAAAAAAAGCCGAAACTGGGGGGGGGCGGGGGGGGGGGGGGGGGTGGGGGGGGGGGCGCACGCCTTTAATCCCAGCACTTGGGAGGCAGAGGCAGGCGAATCCCTGTGAGTTCGAGGCCAGCCTGGTCTACAAGAGCTAGTTCCAGGACAGGCACCAAAAACTACAGAGAAACCCTGTCTCGAAAAATCAAAAAAAAAAAAAAAGTCTGTGAATGCATATGTGAGTGCAGTTCTGCAGAGTGTGTAAACTGACAACATGACCATTCAAAGCATAACTAAGAGGGAGATTTTTTTGTAGATATGAGGGAGAGTGTAAACAGGCATCTGGATGGATCCAGAGCAGAAGAGAGAAAACAGTAGGTAGGCTGAACATGGCCAGCAGACGGGACTTGGTCATGAGAAGGGGGGGGGGGTAGAATGAGAGAGGAAGAGAAAGATGACCAAGAGAGGGCTAGAGAAAAAAGCAGAGTTATAAGGGAATGAGAAGCTGAGGGGAAGGAAGCATCTGAGCTGGAGAAGTTTAGGGTAAGGAGTTGGATGAGAAGAGCCACAGACTCTGAAATGTATAGCAGGTGCTTATGATACTGAGGGAACCTGGAGGTCAGCATGAGGTTTAATATGCTAAGGAGCACCAGAGGTAGCCATTTGTCCCTTCTGTCTGAGATAAGGAAATGGCTTCTTTGGTAGAGGGGATCTGTCACAATTTGGACCTGATGTTACCACCTTTTGTTTGTGGTAAATGGCAGTGTAATCTCTTTTGCATCTGCTTCTTAACTGAAATTAGGATTTTGTTGTCAGGGCTCAAGAAGGCTAGAAAGTTGGTTTAAGGATGGGGGTGGGAAAGATAGGCTGCTTTGGAGTAGTCTAGAATGGTAGTCCAAAGCAGGGGCTCAAGCCTGTTAGAAATTCTGTCAGAAGCATCTAGTTTACGTTAGCTTTCAGCAAGTCCAGGCCTTGCTGGTTCTGAAGGACCACCTGAAGCTGACATGTTTGGAGTGCTTTGCATTCTGCAGTTGTTTGGAAATCTAAAGGGACAGATACAGGACAGGAATAGAAGGTAAAGATAAGGAGCTTAGGGGAGAATCTTTATCTTGGGTATAGACTTGAAACTTCAGGGCTATGGTCCTAGTAGTTGGGGGCAAGGGGTGGTTGGTGGAAGGGGTCTGAAGACCAGGGGAAGGAGAGAGCTCATCGTCAGGCATAGGCAGTAGGCAGGGGCACTTATCTAGAGTTTGTTTTACTTCTAATAGGTGGATCCAAGTCTTTACTTCCTGAAGCTTACATTAATTTTTTCTTAAAGTTTACAAAAAGATTGAAGGTTTAGCATTACCACTGTTTATAGTCTGCACTGAAGTCCTCATTGTAGAAAAAGTAGTTAACAAATGTCTGTAAGCCAAAGATGTTTTCAGCATAGTGAGAAATACTTTTAAGTCTGTATTTAGAAAACAAAAGAAAAAAAATGAACCTACGACTATAATAGTAGTCAGTGGTTTACCAGGTCTAGATCACTAACTTATCAGAACTCTACTGAGTAATGTTAAAATTTCAAATTTTTAAAGGTTTTTTGTTTGTTTGTTTGTTTCTTTCTTTCCTGAGATGGTTTCGCTGTGTAGTTTTGGAACCTGTCTTGGAACTAGCTCTTGTAGACCAGACTGGCCTCTAACTCACAGATCCACCTACCTCTGTTTCCCAAGCGCTGGGATTAAAGACCTCGGTAGGATTAAAGGCGTGCACCACCTCCTCCCAGCCTGAAGCCTTTTTTTTTTTTTTTTAAAAAAAAAAAGCAAAACAAAACTTTCAACTTCTCTTATATATGAGGGTATCATATCCCTTCAAAGCAGACAGCTGTGAGCTGCCATGTGCTGGGAATTGAACCTGGGTCCTCTGAGAGAGCAGCCAGTGCTTTTAACTGCTGAGCCATCTTTCCAGTCCCCAGATTTTTGAAGTCTTTATACAACAATAGTATATCGAAAGGGAAAGACATCTGCAACATCTCTCATTTTTCACATAGCCTAAGTCACTTCCTCAAACCTTTACAATTTGCACTTACACACCTTAAATCACTTTTTTAGACCCTCACCACTTACTTAAACTTTCACATCCTCAGTCCTTTACAGCTTGTACTTACGGGAGTTACAGGTATTGTGAACTGCTGGGAATATGACTTCAGTTCTCTGGGAGAGTTGTAAGCTCTATTAGCCACCAAGTCATCTCTTCTGCCCCCCTTTCTTGAGGTAGTGATTTGCTATGTAGCCCAAACTGACTTTGTACTTGTTTTGTAGCCCAGGCTAGTGTGGAATTTGTGACAGTCCTGCCTCAGTCTCCTAAATCTTGGAGTTACAGAATTGTACCACCAAACCTGGTTTTACAGAGGTGGCTTTACAGCAGTTATCAGTAGTGCTCAAAGCTGTCCAGGAAGAATAGGCCTGACTTCAGTATGATGTTTTGTGAGAGGACTGTGTTTATGGAGAGCCTTGTTAGTCTCTTAAAGGTCTGGCATTACTTCCCTTCCATGTTGTACTTTTGCTAAATGATGTGGATAGTTAAGATGGTGTTAGTAAACCTTTGGGTGAGTTCCAGATGTGGGGTCCAGATGAGTGCAGACTTCTAGCTTTGGAGCCTGTCCTGGAACTAGCTCTTGTAGACCAGACTGGCCTCGAACTCACAGAAATTTGCCTGCTTCTGCCTCCCGAGTGCTGGGATTAAAGGTGTATGCCACCACCGCCTGGCTGCGTTTTTTGTTTGTTTGTTTTTGTTTTTAGATACTAAAATTTTCCTTTCTTGCTAGTTCTGACAAATGATATCACACAATTCCTAGGGTAATTCACCTGGGATAGACAATTGATAATCGAGTCACAAGAGACTACTGTGCGGGCTACTTTTGCCATAGTCCCCAACCATACATTATATATTATCTTCAGTTCTGTGTTTTTTTCCCCCCAAGATTTATTTATCTATTTTATGTATACAGGTGCTTTGTCTGCATGTACATCTGCACACCAGAGAAAGGCATCTGATCCCATGGGACTACAGTTAAAGATAGCAGTGAGCTGCCTTGTGGGTGTTGGGAATTGGTCTCAGGATCTCTGGAAGAGCAGCCAGTGCTCTTAACCACTGAGCCATCTCTCCAGCCCCCAGTCCTGTGTTTTTAAGGGTATTATTTCCCTTTTGGAATTTTTCTCTTGACATTTCTGAATGGTGTGACTGGAAGTGCTCTTGAAGCTGAGTTCAGGGAGCAGTGAGAGTTTAACATGCTTGTGACTTCAGTCTTCCGGGGCTTTATAGCACAGTGTCTTAGTTCCTTCTCTTGCTCTAGCAAAATACCACAGCCAAAGCAGCATACAGAAGAAAGATTTCTTCTGGCTCACAGTGTAAAGTACAATCCATCATGGTGGAAACCAGTGTGCTGGAGCTTAAGTGACTGCTCATACTCATCCAGTCAAGAGACAGAACAAATGAACGTGCTAGTTAGTGCTCAACTTGCTTTGTTCTTATCTAGTCCCAACTCTTCCGCCTAGGAAATAGTTCCACCCATATTTAAGAAGGTTCTGCCAGTATCAGTTAATGTAATCAAGTTCATCCTCCACAACCATTCTCAAAGGCCTTTTCCCAGGTGTGTCTGGATTCTGTTAAGTTTATAGTTACTAGCCATACATTGTTTTGATTGTGATTCTAGGAACAAAGGAAAGAAGTTGGAAATAATTAGCATTGGACTCACTGATCTACATACCTAATTAAAATAGAGGTCACTAATATGTTAAATCCAATTATACTCATCGTACTTTTTCAGTTATTGTTCATTTTTTCATGAGTTAGGTTCTTGATCCAATGTATGTCAGTGATATATGTATAATTATACATAGTTATATTTTTATGAGGGATTTAATGTATGTAGGACCGAATGCATAATTTAAACTTCTAGTTTTTTGCTTGGTTATGTATGAAAGCTTTTGTACTTTCCCAGATTTCTGTAGGATAAGTTAAGGCACAATTTCTTAGTTTCACATCCCCTAGCCCAGTTTAGCAGTTGATCTCATTGTAGAAGCAAGTATTTAAAAATTCACAAGAACTTAACCTTTTCACATAGCACAGACTGAGACAATAACCAAATAGTGTTCTAATACTATCCCTTGAGAAATATGGCAGGATAGAGAGGTGAAGGCAGGTATGGGGTATGTGTGTAGTAGGGAGGAAGTATGTAGAACCTGACCGCATGTATCTGAGACATGCTGTCTGTTCTTTAGATATGGGCTTCTTTGGGGAAATAGAGGCAAGTAGGCCATGTGAACCCAGTTTTAGGTCACTGGTGAAGCTTATTTTAGACAGTTGGATACTTCATGTAAGATTTCCACAGTATGAGCAGATTATCAAGTTACTTAGAACTGGAAGCATGGGGAGTCACACAGGAGGAACATCTTTCTTTCCAGATTTTGAAGTTAGAAGGCAAAGAGGTAAAAGATAGAAAATGCAGTTTGTGGTTATGTGTAGAAGTTCAAGCTTCAGGTTCTGTTTGTTGATTCCTCTAAAACTGAACGTTTTATTGTAACAAGATAATAGTAAAGCCAAATTAGCCTTGATTCCTAAGGTAATTGCTGATCTTTTCCCAAAGTAAATACACAAGAAAGGATTGTTGCTTTAATTATTAAAAAAAATTTTTTTTGAAGCTGGGCAGTGGTGGCATACACCTTTAATCCCAGCAGTTGGGAGACAGAGGCAGCGGATCTCTGTGAATTCGAGGCCAACCTGGTCTACAGAACTAGTTCCAGAACAGCCAGGGCTGTTACATAGAGAAACCTTGTCTTGAAAAACCAAACCAAACCAAACAACAACAACAAAAAAAATCCAGCAAAAAAAATTATTTTTTTTTGAGACAATTTTCAGTCTATAGCCCAGCTAAGAGTCTCCTTGCTGAGTGTTGGGATTAAATCACCTCACCTGGCTAGTTCCTTCTTCAGTGGGATATATACCCTATTTCTTGCAGTCCTCTTCCTCTGTTTATAGTCCTTGCAAAGTATTTCCCTCCTACCCTCTCATTTCTTCTTATTTGCCTGTGAGTGTTCATACAGATGTATGGACAGATTACAGAGGTACTTTAGTATTCATACAATATTCCTACTGGGGAAAAAGGATATAAAAGAAAAAAACTTTTAAATCTATTTTTTTGATTGCTCTCATTTATTTTGTATCAAATGGAATGTTTGGATATGGTTCCTCTGGGGGTTTGTAGGGTATAAGGAGGACAATGCCTGGAGTAGTCCAGTGGATGACACCACTGGGGCTATCTATGTTCTGGAACTTTTGATACATTTTCTACTTAAGATCAAACTGACCTAAATAACATGTGAAACTGCTCTGGGTGGTAAACCTGTGACCTCAAGAGTAGGTGAGTTGTCTGGACTTAAGTGGTTCACTGCTGCCAATTGTAGTATCCTTGGAGTTTCTGGCAGAGCTGTAAGTGTATTTTTAGTCTAGTCCCTTTAGATGTGAGGATGTTCTGTTTTCATTCCATGCTACATGCGCTGGACCCATGCAGACATCTGAAAGCATTGAATTGCTTGCTGACTCTCATTCTGAGACCCCATTCTTTGTTTCCTTATGACCTGGGTGGTGGTTCCTTGCTCTAATAACATTGCTGAGTATGTGAAGTGCATGCTGTTTCTGGGGTAGATTCTTTATAAACTCCTATAGTTGCTGCTACTGTTGCACAGGGATCCTGAGTGGCTGGGAAACTGACTTGCTAAATCTCGATTAATCCCATCCCATCCAGATATGTCATTGAACCTAGAAACATGTAGCATGCCTGTTAGTTGCTGTTTGTGCCCTTCAGTTATTCAGGGGCTGAATTCACAAAAGCCTGGAATTCTAATAGGTTTATTTCCAAAATATGTCGTCAGTATCAGTAGTAATGTTGGTGGAATCTCGCATTTCCAACACCATCTATCTTGTGTTTACATAGGTTTTTTTCCCCCTTTTTGAGATTTTATACCAAAATGTAATACTAGATTTCAGTATGTGATTCTTTAGACGTTAACATACTGCATTTTTCATTAGTTTTTTTTCTTGCTTAGTTAACTTTTTTTTTGAGGTGAAATTTCTGTCCAGTTATCTACCCTCTCAGTATTCTCTCACTTACGAATGAACATTCTAGTGTCTCCTTTCCTTGAGCATGTTGCTTCTGTGAATTCAGCTCTTTTAACCCAGACTGCTGTTATATCTGCTAGTCTCTAATCCTCTAACCTGGCTGCTATTCTCTCTCCTCCCCTCTGTCTTGTAGAGAGGTCTGAAGAATGTGTTTGATGAGGCTATCCTAGCTGCCCTCGAGCCTCCGGAAACTCAACCCAAAAGGAAGTGCTGTATATTCTAAACTGTTTTCTCCTCCCCCTCTTTGCTGCTGCTTCCTGTCCCACTACTGTAGAAAGATCATTTAAAACAAAGGAATAAAACCAGTCTGTTTGAAAGCCTCTGCGTCTTCTTACTCAACACATTAGCGCAAACTCTGTATTCATTTTTGATCATGAATGCAAAAATCTTAGAATATTTTTTGTGATCAGTTGTCACATTAGACTTGTTTAATTTTCTGCTGCTTGAGTTGCCTGATGCTCAGAGCTTTTGTTTTGAATTATTACTGCAAAAAGGAATGTGGTCTGGCATTAAGAATGATGTCTTGGAGAAAATAAGAGTTTTAACACTTCTAGATGTTAGTTCTAGATGGAGAAAGTGTCGCTAAACATCGTTTTACTCAGTAATTACTGATTGTTAATTGTAATTGCATGACAAACTATGAAAAGGTTGACTTGCTAGTAGAGTGTATTGGGGAAGGGAGGATTCTCCTGTGGTTTTTCTGTGTGCAGTGAAACATTGTGCTGCTCTTGCTTTGGCTGTTTGTGCTGTAGGTGGTGTTTGTCATTCTGGGATGGGGAAGGTATTCATGTATCTGCTACTGCTATGAGTTCATTGTTGTTATACATTATCTCCTAATCCTAGCATCCATTTAACAATTAACTTAAGGTTTGCTGATATTGAAATGTATAGCTACTGCCTTTATATTTTCCTGCTTTTGATTTTATTGTTGTGAGGGAAACATACAATTGTGGTTATCTTTACATTTTGAAATTAAAAATATACAATTGTTTGTATAAATGCCTGGTGAAGCTTTATTCCTATTATATTGACTGGCTCTAACTTCACTTTTCTATCAGGTACTCACCTCTGTCTGCTTCCTTGAATCTCCTTGGCTCTGTCTAATTAATTAATGGGATAAAGGGAGTTCAGAGTGTATATATTATAGCTGCCATACCCTTGTGCTGCCTACCCCTGCCTTCCATATAACATGGATGCCACTGCCCAAAGTGTATTCTCTGTTTACATGCTGCTGCTCCATTTGAATGCAGAGCTGCTTTCCTTGTTCCTTCATATACTATTCTAGCATTACATCACAAAACTCATCGAATGATCAAATGACACGTGCTTGTTTGCTTCTTGTGTGTGTGTGTATATGTGTAGGTTATATAAGATTTGCAAAAATTTATCTCAGAACTACTCACAAGTATCTGCTTCTATGCCAGCATTGCTGAATCTCTCCTGTACTCTGACGAGACAGTTGGGTGAGGCAAGATTGTTAGGTCAAGTTGTAGGGTTATTAATGTTTCTTTGTTTGCCCACTGTCTTTGGGGTTTGACTGTTGTAAACATGAACTCCAGCTCTGTTGTTATACTGAAAATCAGATTGCCCATTTTTTTCTTTCTTACCCCTTTTCAGAAAGGCCTAAAGAATGTGTTTGATGAAGCAATATTGGCTGCCCTGGAGCCTCCAGAACCGAAGAAGAGCCGCAGGTGTGTGCTGCTATGAACGCCTCTCCAGAGCCCTTTCTGCACAGCTGGTGTTGTCATCATACTAAAAGCAATGTTTAAATCAAACTAAAGATTAAAAATTAAAATTCGTTTCTGCAATAATGACAGATGCCCTGCACCTACCTACATGCATTCATGTGAGACAAGGCTCATTGGTATGCCCCCTGCCCTTCCAGTAACAGTTAATTTTGAATAATTGTATATTGTCTGAAAAGTGATGAGTGCTAGTTTTTGTTTTCTTGTTTTAAAAAACAACAACAAAATCCCCACCCACTATTTTTTCTTTTTTCCTTTTTTTTTTTTTTTTTTTTTTTAAAGCAAGGCATGCTTGTGATGACTTTGTAACAGACTAATTCAAATTGTCAAAGCTGCTCCCTGGTTCCATTTTGGAGAGTAATCTGGGGCATCTTGTGTTTCCCTACCCCCAGCCCTTCTCTCCTTTTAGGGTGTGTGTGGGGTTGTTTCTTAGTCTTGTTTTTAAAAAATTTGTTAGCCAGTGGACAGCCGTTAGGGAGGAGGATAGATTATTTCCACATTCCACTCCCCAGGCGTAGTTTAGCAAATGTGTCCCCACCTGGTGCTCTTAGGAAGGAGTGTAGAAATGCCTCGTTTAATAACATGCTCCTTCTTGAAAGTTGCCTTTTCTCTCTACCCTTGAGTGGATCTAGTCTTTGATGAAACTCATGAAGGTGGATGGAAGCTGTCTTACCCTCTTTCTAGGATGCACTCTGTATGTGACTGTGACTTTCAAGGGTATTTGTTTTCCACTTGCTGATTTGGGGAGGGGGGATAATTTCTAATTCTTTCATTGATAAATGAAAAAAAAGTATTGCACCTTTTGAAATACACCAAATGGATTGAGTTCCTAATTAAAAAAAGAAGTTCTTTTGCCCCTGTCATTTTCTTATATGCTTAGTATAGATTTTTAACTCACTGTAGTTTTCCTAAGATTCAGCTGAAGACCTGGTACATAGGCTTCCTTAAGGGATGGTGCTAGAAGACAATGGTTACTGATTCTTACCATCTCCTTTCAGGTGATGAGGTTATAGGCCCATTAAGAAGCTTCATTAAGAAGCTGTGAGCATGTGGGGAGGGGAGCATACTTAACCAACATGGGGACCAGTCAGGGCTATCCCCTTTTTTTCTTCCATGCCTACGAGGAACCCTTGAACCACGAACTGAAGCTCTCTTATTCAAGAAAAATGTCAAGAGTCTCACGACTTGTTATAAGTGTTAATAGATTTTATCAGATTATTTTGTTTGCAGGTTCCAATCTTTAAAAATTGTTTAGGTAATCTTCTCCTTCCCCAGTCCTAATCTTGTGGATTCGTCAGTGCTGAACCAATGCTTCCTTGTGTCTCAATTCTTTGTAGATGAATTCTTTTCAGATGTATTAAACAAACAAAACCCTTCACAAGCCAGCCTGAAGGTCGTTGTTTTCCCTCCGCCTCTTTACTTTTCAGGTATTTAGAACTGAGGACGTGACTGCTACATGACATCAGCATCTAACAAATTTTGGGATCAAATTTTAAAACTTTATTTTTGTTTTCTGTCTGTAAGCTTGTGTTGTTTCCCTCCATATGTTCAGGTTTATGCCTTTCCTCCTAAATTTGAAAGCTAGCTCAGAAATTTCTTACCTTGAGTAAGTCAGAGCAGTTGTTAGTGCAGATGTATTTATGAAGATCTCGTCTCATGTTGTTGGAAGGCAGCATTAGCATACTCCTATAGTGCAGTGAGAAAGTAGACCCCTTGTCCCAGCCTGCCTGCATTGGTAACTTTCAAATTTGAATACTTAAAGTACAGCTTGCATAGTGAAATCTACAAATAGTTTCCAGGCATTTCTAAAAAGCACCCAAGTCTGAGATCCAAGGTAGTCAGTTGTTCCTCTCACATTACAAAATTTTGTTTTGTCGATATGATTCATTTTCTTTGGTCAGCAAGAATGACATATTTACTTAATTGCATTATACCAATTTGTTTGAGAAGCTTAGAACTTAGTCCAGTTCAGTGTATGCTTACTTTTCCGTAGGGATTTAAGTTTGGCATGATTGTATTGTGTTAGAACTAAGCAGGGCTGGTAGGAAGGGGTTGAAAGAGGCACAGTGAAGCTCTACTGGTTTTTGTTTTTAATTACAATTTTAGTATTTTGTGAGTGAGTGTATGAGCATGCCATGGCACATGAGCTTGTCTCTCCTTCAGCAGGTAGAACCTATGATCAACCTCAGGTTGTCAGGTTTGGCACCAAGTACCTTAACCAGTTGAGCCATGAACTGCTATCTTGCTGGCTCCTTGCTTTACATGCTTTAACCAGTGCGTCTTACTTTTTGACCATTCTAGGGAGAGGCAACTGGATTTTGCCATGATAATTTGGAGAGCAGAGATATGTGTCCCAGCATCTTAGTGGCTCTATGCCTGTCTTAGAACAGTGCTTAGCCGTACATTTGGCTGAGAATAGTTATTGAATTAAGCACATGATTTTAAGAGTGAATACATAAAAGCAGGCCATGTGATCATCTCGGCAATTTTTTTTTTCCTGGTTTTCTTTTTTGAGACAAGGTATTACTATATGGATCCAGCTGTCCTGGAACTTGATATATAGAGCAGGCTGTTATTGACCTCAGAGATAGAGATCCATCTGTCTCTGACTGCTGGGTGCTGAGATTAAAGGTGTACACCATCACTCCTGTCAGTGATGGTGGATTTATACACATGAGAAGGGTGACTGGTAAATTGAAGTTAAGTTTAAGTATTTTTCATTCTGGCTTCTTCATAATAGAAGACCTACATGGGTAGCAAATGGATGGAGGTAATGTGGGTTTTTACTTAAATACTGTTTTCTTTGACTCAAGAAATTTGCTTATAGTCTTGACTTGTTAGGTTAGTGATACTGCTCTGTAGTGTGTGTGGGTTAGACTCTGGTGTTTTCAACCCTAAAAACAATTTAAAATTGTGTATGTGTGTTTGTTTGTCTGTCTGTCTGACTGTGACTGTGACTGTGTTTGTGTCTGTGTCTGTGTCTCTCTAGGGCTATACATGCAGGAATGCAGATACCTCTTTAGGCCAGAAGAGGGCATTAGATTCCCTGCAGCTAGGGTTACAGGTGGTTATGAGCTACCTAACATGGGCTTAGGGAATTGAACTCTGCTTTTCTATAAGAACAGTACTCTGTTTTAACCACTGAGCCACCTTTCCAGCCAATGTTCAATCTTTTGACAGTATGGCTTGATCATCTGCAAAAATGTTGGCCAAATTCATAGATACCCTGGGATACATATTAGCAGACTTAGCTTATAGCAGAATTTACAATAAAAACACATCACTGGTGTTCTAAAGAGCAATTTACTGGGGCTTGGGATGTAGGTTGGTTGGCAGAGTGCTTACTCTATGCATGAAACCCTGTTTTTTATCTCCAGCATGGAGGTAGAGATCAGAAGATGAAGTGTTCAAGGTCATCTTCACCTACCTATAGCGAGTTCCAGGTTAGCCTGGATTACTTGAGACATCTCAAAAACAAATATTCTGTATACGGTGGCCCTACTTAAGGGTTGAAAATCAAGAATGATAGTACACGCCTGTAATCTAAGCACCTGGGAGGTAGAGGCAGGAGGATCAGAAGTTCAGGATCATCCTTGGTTATATATATGAAGTTTGGGGGTGACAGTTTGGGCAACCTGAGGCCGTGAGGTCTCCTGCCCTGACTACACCTTAAACCTCCTATACCCAAATAAATAAACAAAAACCAAATTCGAAATTTGATCCTTGCTGGTCCTGATTTTCAAATGGAAGTCTGTTATGTAAATTGGAAAGGTACCATCATACATGGTAATGACAACTGTAATCTTTCAGGAATGAAAGACTATCCTTGAGTAGGAGGAAAAGGGCTTCCAATCACAATCTGTGTTAGCTTTTCTTGTTCTCTGAACATCATTCCTTGTGTCCACCAACTTCAGAGCATAGTGACAGAATTATACAGAGAAACTGAAGACCTCATAAAGTGCGTTCTTTTCTTGCCACTGCCATTTAAGGTGTTGCTGTGAGTTTCTTACAAGTGCCCTCACCTCTCCCTAAAGTCTCAGTTTAGTAGCCATGCCATGATAGTGTGCTGTAAACCACAAGAACAGTAGTTGACTGTAGTATTTCCTTTCTTGAGTTGGATCATTTGCACACACCTCCAGTTTCAGGTTGTACTCAGTTGGGCTCTGTATTTCTCATTCCAGAACCTAGCTCTAGAGAGCAGTGACTATCTATGAGTGACTTCTCATAGGCTGCGTGTGGGAGAGAAGGGGGGCACATTTAAGTACATTGAAATGTTCTCATTCTGTTGCTTGGAGGATGGCAAAGAGCCAAGACAGCTCAAAAAGTGCTATCATTCATTCTCAGCCGTCATTGATAAGTTTATAATGAGTATATTTAAAAGCACTTCATGAAATCTTGGTGTAATGGTGCATACCTTTAATCCTATCACCCAAGAGACATTTCTCTGTATGAGACCAGCCTGGTCTACACAGAGTTTCAGGACAGCCAGGGCTATATAGACTCTGTCTTAAAAAATAAAAAACAAAAATGAAAAACACTTAATACACTGGAGAATATAACAGAGAATCAAGTAGCTAACACCTGCCATCCAGTTGGAAGTTTCTTTCCCTTATGGTTTTGACAGCTGCCCCTTCTTGAATAACTGTGTGGTCACATCCTACTTTGAACTGCTCCCAAGACAGTCAAAGGCTTGCCTGTGTGCATACCATGACACATTCATTTCCCAGTATTAGTGAGGATGTGTCTCGTGGGGCACTGGAGATACTAGAGAAGAGTGTCAAGTGGTGCCTATGTAATCAGGCAGGGTAAAGATCTCAGTTCCCCAGTAGGTTTCTTTGTTCACTCTATTTGCTGTACATGTGCTTCAGTACTCATAGTACTCTGGAGGCCATGATTGCTATGTGGCACACTATCAACCTGCCATAAGACTTTGAAAGACAAAAAAACAAACTTATCAGGTGGTGGTGGTACATTC